AGTGATCTTCGACGGTGTTTAGTGGGCGCATACTCAGCCCGGATGTCAGTGCACTTTGATACACATTCAGAACCCCTAGCTTCGCCAGCTGGCTGGTGTCAATCCGTTCACATCGACCATGCAGACGTCCACCGAACCGCACCCGAATGTCGGCGCAAACAAGTGCGTGGTCAGAGTCCACGCTCGTGCTCCAAATCTAATGACCGTTTCGAACACAGCCTCTCCAGCGGTAACTGATCGCGAGATGATCGATTTGCGTCCATAGCTGTCCTGAGGCTAGTGGGCGAAAAGTCACGCCTCTGCGGGTGCTGTGTCGAAAGTCTGTGCTCGCGAGAAAGAGGCGAGCATCTTCACACAGCTGTAGCAATCGCTCACCGTTATCATTACGGGAGCCTACACCATGTTGGCCGCTCAGATGAAGCTCATCAGAGGACAATTTCCCGACAATTTCCCAGACAACACCACAGTATCTGTGCTACTTCTGTAACGAAGGAGATGGTTAAGTTGGTGATAGAAATCATCCTTCACCGAATCAGTGCTACAGTTTGTAGGGGCGTAGGCCGCAATGACCAACAGGCACAGTTTGTCTCTGCAAGACTTCGAAGCATGGAACGAAGCAGCTAATCTAACCGCGCACATCCTACTGTTTACTGGGATCCAATCGATCAGGACAGCTTCAGCCCAAAGACTCGATACAATGCCGACGCCAGCATGAGCGGCATTTGAAGCTGCATCATCGCCAGACAGGCACAATGAGAATGTGCCGCCAGTGTGGGGGATCGCAGGGTAACCACGGAGCTCGAATCTTGCAGGCGCGTTTCTCATAATCAGAAAATATCGATCGATAGTGTGCGGGAAAGTGCTGCCTGTTGGCCAATCTGTAGCAAGGTGCGCACCTTGAGGCATGGCAGTATTAGCGAGGATAGAAGACTCCAAAGGGAAATGGATGAGCTGATGTTGCCCGGTTGGTTGAACATAAGCTTGTCGACTGGATTGGAGCGACGCCCTGCGACTGTGTGTGATTTGAAACTAGAAGACAAGAGACTATTGAAGCAAGCTGGGGGAGGACCAAGAATTGGGGGATTGAAATTGGGGGATAAAAGTAAAGTTGGAGCGAGACGATAGGGATGTAAAAGAGCAAGAAGGGGAATAAGAAGACGGGAAGACCTAAGCAGTAGCATCCAAACCCCTATCCACCCTGCTCGATGCAGCAGATATAGGGCACCGTTGATTATCCTCTGCGACGGCTAGAGCATCAAGAAATTGTTAGAAGAAAGGTTTATTGTATTGCGTGGGCAGAATACTGTCAGGTTGCAAAGGCCTAGACAGGGGAACGAGTGGGCTCTCAGTCAAAGCCTTTGGTTCAAAAACCTGACCGCAAGGCAGCGGAGTTTTGGCAATGGACTACAGAAAGCCCGTTTTATGGAGTAAGGAGCCACCCTCACTTCAACCCCCAACCTGGATGGCCAGGAGACCGAGTTTATCTGGCCTGTAACCATTGACAAATTTGATATGAGTGGCTCTGAAGGTGCCAAAAAGCACCACCCAGCATGGCTCAATGGAGCAATGAGGAACACAACCATCGCGCCACGTTAAGGTCCAGTCTCGTCGCGATGTTCTAATACTTCGAGCAAAATAAACAACTGGTCAGTGTTCAATGCACATCCGCCTGCGTTGACTTCGACCAAGCCAAGGTTACTCGCGTGGTACGTTTCCAGGAACGATTGACTTCTTATTCTGGTACAGTGCTGCAGGATTCGGCTGGCAGTCCCAATGTCCCGGATTCGCATCACAGCTCTGCTATCTCTACTTGAGGACTGTCAACGAACATGAAACCCGTTGTGAATTGTGATCGCGCGAGTCAGCAACATCGAACATTCGGCTACTTCAGATACGTTTTCAGTTACATAACTGAGTGGAGTCGCATTGCGATTGCATGTAGCAATCCGATCGCGCAATCGGTGCTGCATACGAACTCACAATGCGCAAACGCAGGTCATTTATTTTGAGCCAGCAACAATAATCGCGAAAGAAAACCACAGTTTAACTATAACGATGAAATGAACATACTCGAAGATCCGAGCAGGGGATCAGACGGATGGATTCCGGATCGGTTTGGTCCAAGCAATCCAATGATCCAAAATGAGTTGAGTAACACAAAAGCGTAGTGATCATTGTCAGCGCTTCTATCCGAGGGGCCTGAGAACAAATTAGAAGAATTATCAGTTGCAATTAGTTAACGTCAAAAGAGAGCAGTATAAAAAATGAGGTAGAAGAGGTGACTACTAACCTCTCTCGCAGGAGACGGATCATCAAAGATTACGGAAGCTCCATGCAAGAAGTCGAGGATGAGTAGGTGACAGGAGGGCAGTTCGGAAGAAAACAAAAGCATTCCACAAGAACGAATAATCTCGTAGACATATGGCTGTAATAGAAGACGGTGCGCACGTGAGAAAGCATTGCTGAAAAAAGTAGCTGTTTCACGGTGACGATTCAAAATGAAAGGCGCTTGCGAAGTGGAACCTGGCGGAGTACCGTGATACAAAAAGCACCATCTTAGCTAAACACATCGTCATCTAATGTAGAAAAGAACGGGTAGAAAAAGCAACGAATCATATTTGGGATTGTTTCTTTCGTTAGAACCTGGAAAGAAATGAAACGCTTATGGATGGCGCGGGAATCAGCTAAGAAATACACGAAACCGTTATGTGTAGAGCTCCAGAGAAATAGGCGACGGACACATGATGTCCTTGTTCAACCGACAGGGAATCGAATGGAGATGCACACCAGCAAAGGACTAACTTTGTCGGATATGGAGAGAAATCGATGGAGAAGGCGATAAAACTGTGCGATCGCTTCCAGGTTGATTCGTCCTTGTGGTGGCCTTAGGAGAGCAGCGGTTAGAGCACGTAAAGCGGAAAGCTGGATGCTTGTTGGTTGCTCAGGAAGTGTGAGAGCCTGATGAGAGCAAACAAAGGTCAAATGAATTCTGTATTAACGGAAAGGCACGTGGGAAAAGAACAAGCGTAAAACCGGTGTCATGTACCGCCTGACCAACTTGCTACCAGTGCGTAAGTAAGAATAGTCTCAAAATTACCGATTATCGCACCTAGCAGGACGTAGATAAATGGAATATTCATTAATCATGCTCATTCAGATAGACAAAGACCAAACAAAACGTAGGGTATGGTACGGATAGATAGATTCGACTAGATGGGAAAAAGCATGTCATTTTGCGTGAAACGAAGAAATTCGGGCTTGACGCGATAAAAAAGGAAAACACTACGCCGAATTACCAGTCCATACTGTGAGTGATTCATTTGAATTTGTTAAAGAATTGGAAGCATTCAATGTGAAGGACGAAACGACGCTTTCCTTCACCTTTCGAAAACGTCCCTTTGATAGGAACTGTAAACTTATTTGCGAGTACATGGCTGATAACATTGCTATTGGAGCCCCGTGCAAAGGATAAAAGAGCTAATCCAACGCTGTGTCTTTAACGAGCAGTTCTCATCTGACAGGAAATACTATCGACAACTAGATGGAGTTGCAATGGAGTCACCGTTAAAGTCACATCTTACCGAATGTGGCCTTATCCAGCTATATACAAACCCATTTAATTTCTATCAACAGTACGTGGATAACACGTTCATCATGGTTGACTCCCGCGTTCAGCACACTCACTTACTGGACAAATGTGATCACGCGCACTCACGAGTAAAATTCATTTGCGAGCTATAGAAGGAAGGCGAACTTCCGTTCTTGGATATTTTGTTGACGCTAAACCGATGGTTAAGTTGAGAGAAGGATCCTACGTAATATAACTTTCTTATTTTTGTACTTATAAAGTACAAGAGAAATTTTGTGCGCTGTCCACACTACTGGGTCGCAAGAATTTGCAGTCCAGAAAAGTTAGAAGAGTAAAGTGAATTCATTCACAAGACGCTACAGAGCAACGGGTATCCTATTGCGTTTAACAAAAAACATTCCTGTTTCTGACCAATTTAAGGTGATACCGACTGCAAGAAAGGTCGCTTTCCTATCAGTTCTTTTCAATGGGGATATCGGTTTTGACTTACAGAATAGCAGTAGATCATTGGCAGTGAACCAAACACATCCAGTCGATACATTTCATATCCTTGCTAATACTGTTCCACTCATGACCCAACGTCTCCAAGATGGATTCTCAGCTCGTTCTGAATCCTTTGTCATGTATCCGTTTAGCTGCACCCGTGGTGCAACATACGTCGGGCACACGACCAGGCGTCTAGCCAGGCAGATAGCGGAGCACTGCCCCATCTCTTTGCAACATGGTACGGTGAAGAATGTCTGGAGTACCATCCTCGAACATCTGCTTAGTACCGGCCATCAGATTCGGACTGATAACGAATTCAAAGTAGTCTACACGGTACCGAGGCGCAACCCTAAAGGAATAAGAAAGCGCTTGGTCATCCCCGAGGACACTGCATCAGACTAATTCAGTCGGAGTTGTGCAAGCGGAGAACGATCTATCATTTTACCGTGGCCGTAATGTCAGATCGTGACTACGGCTGAAAGTGACCATTGTAGACCTATCGGCCAAAGCGCCTGTGCTTTGTGCGCATGTGCGTCTACACGCGTGCTTGCACGTCTCGCGGTGTCTGACCTGTATCAAGTGAATAATTGATCCAATCCGTTGAGTCAACCAATCGCATTGCAGTTTCGCTTACCTGTCACCTTTACCTTAGTCCTGTAATTGTATTTGCCTAAAGTGAATTGCTAACGAGTTCTTTTCACCAGTTGTATGCTACTAAATGTGTTACACATGGATGGAACATTTGTGACAGCACAGTGCTAATGGGGTAATTAAGCTATAAGGCTGTTCTATCCTAGAGGCATAGCAACCCAGGCGTCTCAAGCAAATGTAAGGCACGACGAACGGGAAGCTTGGTCAGAGTGCAAAGTAGCTTCGGGCACAGCGTAGAACGAACAAATCCCGTTTAGAACGTCCAAATATCTTACTGCTCTTCTCAGTTGGTGTCGGCTTTAAGATATCCCATCCAACGTCTAGATAACTAATTTTTATCCATAGATGAGTGCGTAGGAAGCAACTGATGAGGGAAAAGAGTGCCCAGCCAGTAACACCAGCACATTCCCTGTCGGCATTTTAAGGCTAAAACCTGTGCAATACAACCTGTGATCGGTTGGAGACAAAGTAGGAAAAGGGAATTAAATGGCAATGGTATGTTAACCTCTTAAAGTAGCACAATCTGGCAACAGCAAGCATGTAGTTGGGTATAGGTAGGGAAAAGTAGATAATGATACCGAGCAGTCAAAGCTGCAGGAGCCATGCTTGTCTAATGACGCATTAGCACCTCAATAGTTCATGTTGCAATGTGATATTCGAAAAGTGTGGGTGAGCTTATCCTCGATGTTCGTGCAAACAGGCAGTCCATATGTTGTTATACTCGCTTTCTATCTGTGATTAGGAACCGTAGGAGCATTCCCTGTCTATGGTTGCGCAACAGCAAAGAAGAAACAACAAAAAACTGACATATAACTGTTGCTATTGTTGCTACTGAAAAAGGCGATGGTGACGAGCAACTAGGGGCTGGCAGACGAGTTGGCACGCCGAAAAGACGAGAACTGGAGTAGTAAGAGTTGCATCCTGTTTGCCATTCAAAGCAATGCTTCAACCGACTGCAGTCACGGTGCTGCCAAAAACATCACAAATACCATAAATTGAGCACGCTACTACACATTGCAATCACTTCAATCACAATGGTTGAAAGTGCACAATAGTAGATGGATCATAAAGAAATGCAGAAGCTCAGTTGGGCGAATAGTTGGGTCGAAATATAACTAAGCACAAGGACAACAGTGAGGGTAAATCAAAATTTGACATCGGGCACCGACTGGTTCAAAGTAGTATCAACTTCATGCGCAACCAATGTGGATGCGAAACTTGACGTTCCCTGGTAGCTAGATAAAGATGGACCCAAGCAGATCATCTCATCCTACGCCTCATATGATGAGTTTCATCATATCCAACCATCCTTTTCGGAACACGCGCGCCAATTCTATTCAAGACACATTTCGAGTCAATTGTCCTTGTTTTTGCTGAAAAAGCAGTTGATTATTTCCTCGAAGGGAGAACGAAAAGCTGACTCGATCAAAAATTAAATAAAAGCCATTTGCTGACGAGGTCGCCATCCTTGCGGAAGATGTTAAATCACTAAAGTCACTGCTAAATCGGGTTGACCAATCAGCCTCTATGATCGGTCTTGAAATTAACATCAGCAAGAGGAAATACTTCGCATCGTTAGCCACCCAGTCCATCTTGGCGCACTCCTTATATGGACAAGTCATCGGGTGTTCCTGAATTCAAGTACTTTGGATCTACTATTCTCATCAATGGCGAGATTACATCCAAAATCGTGTTGACACCACCAGAACAGCCTTCTTACAAACGAGAAACACATTGTGACGAAGGACGGCAATTAGTCTGAGAACGAAAATCTGAGTATTCTCAGCAACCATTCGTACCATTTCACTATATGGTTGCGAAACAGCCGCTGCGATCCGAAGACACCTGGGAGATGGAAGTCTTCGACCATTAGTGTTTAAGGTTTATCTTGAAAAAGCAGTGGCATGAGTGCATCACCAATGATGAAGTTCGTAAGCGCTGTTACGGTCTTACAAAACTCTCACTACTCATCCAACGCCGCAAACCTTAGTGATTCGATTACGTCCTCTGCAGACCAGACACTCGGACTGTGGTTTCGCCCTCGTCTTGTCAGGGTTGGTGTCGTCACTGTAATGGATAATTGAAAACGAAACCCACAGCAGTTAAATCGGATGTCGATCTTCTGTGACTACAGGTTGTGCATGGTGATCGTCACTGGAGAAATCATTGGATCAGTGTCCGCGAAGAGCTCACCGAAGTAAAGTAAGTAATAAGGAGTTAATGTGTGCTAAAGTTACACCTATTCAAACTTAGGGGAGGTATTACTGAAACTGCGTATTCGCTAATAACATGGCACACAAACCGAAGTTTGAGGCGATGAGAAACTCAACCGCATCGGACAATACATACGCGAAAGTTCGGCGAATAACCATGCTAGCAAAGATCAAAACAAGACCAGACGTGGTATTTGCAATGGAACCCCTGGGAGTATAGATAAGTGCAGTGGACTCCGCGTGCGTACCCGATATCGTATCAATGGAGCAACACAAATAGATTTTTAGCAATCAGTGCTCAGGAAATGTGGGAAGCAAAAGAAGCAGGTGAATAACAAATGGAACATTCTCAGTGATTCATCAAGAACATCAGTCTAAGGCAAACAATTGTTTTCAATGATTCATCTACAGGCCGGTACAATCATATAAGGTTAAATTACAAAGGGATGGATAGTGATTGGTTCTGGGGTTTGTTCTGAACTGACTCGGTCAATGGTTAGACAGCGAATGGTTCGCCGCTGTCTCATGCACACAGATCGATTGAGGGTTACGTAATCACAGGGCAGGTGAATCTCGCGAATTTTCACAGCCAGTCTAAATTACCTACCAAAGGAAAGCATCTGTCAGCAAGGCAAGTATGGACTGCACCGATGCTTCAATTCATGAGAGAAACGCACATTTCATCGATGCTTTGGATACACAAAAGAGCGATTCAGTTGAGCGTACATGAGTTGTAAAGTGTTCAGTTAGAGATACACTATATCTGAACTGGATGCACTGCGTCGCAGACAGTCAAATGCCGTGGTTGCGGCATTTTTGTCAGAACCAAGACTGAAGTCAGTTGGAGCACAAGTAGAAAAAACGAATAATTGGCTTGTAGTGCTGATTCTTGTGTTACTCATAGTTCAGTTTACCAGAAATTGAACACATATAACAACGAGAGTTCAACGGATGAGATGAGAAATACGTTCACCCCAGTCTGACACGGTGTTGCGGCACCAGCTTCGCCGAAATCAGTA